TTGTTTTGAATCTAGTACGACAGTGTCTGGGATCATGTCTTGCCACTTCATGTTCAGTATCTTTCTCAGACAGACTATGGAAGTGGTTAAGATTTCTTTTTGCCTGAAGTCTGTATACAGTTTCACAGTTATACTGTAGCATTGGAAGCACTGCATCTCTGTATACCTTCATTTTAGTTAGTTAGTTTGGTTATCATCATTGCACTTCGGACATGTCCATAGGTGCTCAGATCCTTCCCTCGGAATGAACCAATACGTCCGATGGCTAATAGTACTAATTCTATGTTGATTAACAAGTCTTCTGATGTTTCTGGTGTGCGTCTCATTTTTTTTTTTTTTTTTTGCTATGCCGATCTTAATTCCCAAGTCTGCCATTCTGGCGAGTGATGTGGATTCACTGCCCCCAAAGTCGTCTATCCTTCCCATTTCTCTGAGGGCATTAATAATATCAGAATGATCCATAGGCTGAACGTCGGTAGTGATAGCGGATCCAGCCAGCCTATCAGCTCTTTCATTTCCATCGACGCCTGCGCATTTTGGTTTGCAGACTGATGCCACTACGATGCCAGACATTTGCTTTTGGATATTCCCGCCGACAAAAGCCAGCACAGGAAGACACGGCTCTGACGTCGCAGGGCGCACGGCGTCACCCGGTGTGGCGAATACTCATGGAGGAATGGGGATATGCTCAGAGCTGATTTAGCAGTTTCTCACTCGTATCTGTCCACCGTCCACTGTACACGATGTCCAGTTCTCACCACGCCCTCACGCAACAACATCCGCGCGCTGCTGCCAAGAGGCACAAGTCTCCGAACAGGTATGCTTCACCTAACATTTCACACACATCTCCATGACATGATTAAGTTAACCCTTTCTTAGTGCAGGAAGACAGACCACTGTGGTCACACGCGGAATGTTTTCACATTTGGGATCTGTCCAAACCCAAAAACTGTTTCCAGTCCTTTTGTTTGGCAAAGTAAAATACTCACAATTTCAAAACTATAAATGGTGGTCCAAAGGACGTTATGGTGAGAGGCTCACTCTCTTGCGATATACGGCTGGCCAAATCAGAAGGAGCTGAAACTAAGAAGGAAACATCAGAAATGAAAAGGCAAGAAGAACACAGTTGACAACAGGAAAAGGAATGAGCGGTCTGACATGGAGGAAAGAAACACTAAGCCCAGAGACGGCGCAAATACCAGAACGTTAGCCACGAAAGTGGCGCAAATAAACAAGACCACAAATATAGCCGGAGACTGTTGGCTGCTTCGGCTAGCTAGCAGCAGGTTCAACGTGTTTGAGTTTTTGATTTTTTTTCTTAAAAGGAATTGGAATTGGAACAGGTATGTTCTTTCCGGACAACTTTCGATCAAGAAGAGTGCTTCTTTTTCTTTAAAGTTCTCGACTCTTGAAGCTCATTACTGCAGAAATCACCCACCTCTACTGATCTCTGTCACTGGACTTCTCTTTTCAGTTGTTTATTCCAGATATTCGTAGATCTCTTACTCATTTTCTTGGTTTGCCTCGTAGTCTTATACAATTCAAGTCTTTCACGTATACAAGTTCTGTCTGTCACTGCCATTCTCTATATACTTCTCAATCATTGCAGTTTACTGAAATTATAATGTCAGTTTAAAGTTAGTTGCGTATTTTTTTTACACGACGTTGCAGAACCAAGCCACATTTTTTAATATGTTTTTGCTGTTGTGGTTTGTTAAGGCAAATTTACGTCCAATAGTTTGCCACTGCTTTCTGGATGGTCAGCTTCACAATACCAACACAAAGCGCAAAGCCCGCAGCTGGGATCGAACCCGGCACCCCGGCATTACGAAGAGCGTTCGCAACGCCTAAGCCACAGAGGCCGACTATAATATCAGTAATAAAGTTAATTCTGATTTAAACAGGGGATGAATCCTATTGTTGATACTTGATGATTACAGCAAGGATAATATTACAAGTACAGTATCCAGTCTGGTTCCGAGGTTCCAGCTGGGGGATTGAGGGGGAGTGGGGATAGGCCCACCGCCCCTAGCAGGCATGCCATTGAAGGGGGTTTTGCTGAAAATGGATATTCTAGGCCGAAAGGCTCCGATATCGTAGCCTAGCTGTAAATGACAACTTTTAGAGGGAAAGGTTTAAGAGTAGGAAAAAAAAAATGACAAAAAAGACGAAGAAGAAGATGAAGAAAGGGAAGAAGAACAAGAGGAAGAAGAAGAAGGAGGAGGAGGAGAAGGAGGAGAAGTAGAACAAAGAACAAAAAGAAGAGGAAGAATCACCTCTGCAATCCAAATAAAATTACAAGAGTACAAGAGTGTGTTTGGCTACGCGCGCGCACACAGACTCATTCTCTTTCACACACACACACACACACACTCTGACACACTTTTTAGATGAGAAGATCACAGGCCTTTTTGAAGTCTGTGGTGCGACGCTTGTCCTCGACTGTTTCATTCAGCTTGTTTGCCATTGGAATGCCAACCGGCAAAACCAGAGATCTGTCTACTATGATGATGATGATGATGATGATGATGATGATGATGATGATGATGACGACGACGATGTTGTTAAAGATAACGATGATGATGACTGACAGGTGGCCGACATCTGATTTATTGTCTAGATCTCATAGACTGTCTGTCTGATAGATTGCCTATATGTAAGAGAATGTCTAGATCCGACAGACTGACTACATCTGCTAGATTACTAAATGACCCTTTTCTACGCCTTTAATGCGTATTGGGTGTATAGGGCTAGACCTATATTTTTATAGACCAACGGCACAAGATGGGTGATGTGGTCAGCATTCCGCCGGCCTCCTTTACTTCCCTGGACTGCACCTAGTACCCTTGACCTGGAAGCCAATGTAAAAAAAGTCTGGCTCCGCCAGGCAACGAACCCACGACCTTTCGATCCGCAGGCGAGAGTCTAGCCACTACGCCACAGCGACACCCAGATGACTCTTATATCGTCAATTACTGTCCCACAGATTCTGAGACCAGCAGGGCATAAACCAAACTTCAGAGCCCACAAGAACCGCACACCTCAACCCCGGGCAGACAGGCATGAACTCAGCAAGACAACAATGCCTGCACAAGTCTGTACAATAAAGCGGTAGGTAACGGGTATAAGAATAACAAGAACTCCACAGGGGGAGCATGCGCAGCAGGGGTTTACCGATAATCAGTAAAAAGGTCCCTCGTCGAGAGTTGTTTCGGCCCATTATCCTCCTATACAATCTCAGAGGGTGGGCCGACCTGGTTCATGACGCCAGGCCTCAGACGTCCCATGCTGCTCTTTATCGGACTTAGGACAAGACGATGACGAGCTGGTTTTGTAGACGAATGATGAGAATACCCTGGAAGATAAGAAGAGTAATGAGTACGTCATGAAAAAAAAAAAAAACTGACTCACGAAGAGAACTGATTGCTTACATCAGAAAGAGACAATCTACATTCTTTGATAATGTGAGGAGATGGAGAAAACTGGAGTACTTCATGACAGTAGGAAAGTTGGAAAAGGGGAGAGGGGGTGGGGAGGAAGACCGAAATAACAAATGCTTGACAGTTTGATATCATGACAAGGAGGATCATCTGTGTTAGAGCTGACTGAGGGTACACGAGACAGAAGGATGTGGAGAGACATGACTACCAACTCCATAGGGCCTGGACTTTTAGAAGACGAAGAAGAAGCTGACTCGTATGTGTGTGTTGCCTACATTGTTCGCAAGTTACTGATGTAGCTGGAGGAGCCAGAGGTGCGAACCACGCATGGTGGGCAACTGGATCAGGGTTTACCTAGTCAAGACATGCATTCACCTGTCGGCGTTCAGCCTAGAAACATACTCCCAACCGTGGGTCTGGTCAGTGTAAATATGGTCGTCTTCTTCGAATTCAGAGCTGATCCGCCTACTAGATGGCAAGGAGCCATCATACTGCATAGAAGTAAGCCATATGTATGAACGGATGTGCACGCAACATCCAAGTCCTGAAATAAAACTCCTCGTGTGGGCTCCAGTGCCTCGTTGTTCTTTTTTTTCTTTGCGTTTACCAGCTGTAAACTCTGGCGGTAATTTCTGTTTGTGTGTCCATTCCCGGACTGCTGTCCTCTTCCAGAAGCTGAATGTTACATGTGCATCCATTTTACAGATCTGACTCATCTGTTTGCAGTGTGTTGGTTCCTTGCCTCTCGGGGTAGATGCACTCCTACTTCAAAGAAAGCTCCAAGCTAGTTGACTCTTGCGACATGCTTTTAGGAAGGTAGTGGGTCTGCTCTTGTTTTCCCTACAATATGGCCCACGGGAAAGGAAAGTGCCTCATTGTGAAAAGCGTTCGCTGCCCCATAACAAACATGTCGTAACAGTTTACAGATTAGAAGTGTTTCTCTTCAACTGAGAGTACATCTGCTTCAGAGGCGACGAACCAACAGTCTGCTTACAAAAAAGCCAAATCTCTAAAAGTGATGTGCCTGCAAAACTCAAGTTCTGGGACAAGACCAAAATCCAGAAGTAGACGAACATCCAGAACATTTCCTCTGGAGTTTTAAGACCGCGAACACTAAGAAAAAGAAGAAAAAGAAGAAGAAGAAGAAGAAGAAGAAGAAGAAGAAGAAGAAGAAGAAGAAGAAGAAGAAGAAGAAGAAGAAGAAGAAGAAGAAGAACAAGAAGAAGAAGTGGAAGAAGAAGAAGAAAAAGTAGAAGAAGAAGACGAAGACGAAGAAGAAGCAGAAGAAAAAGAAGTAGAAGAAGAAGAAGAAGAAGAAGAAGAAGAAGAAGAAGAAGAAGAAGAAGAAGAAGAAGAAGAAGAAGAAAAGAAGAAGAAGAAGAAGAAGAAATAGAAGCAGAAGAAAAAGCAGAAGAAGAAGAAGAAGAAGAAGAAGAAGAAGAAGAAGAAGAAGAAGAAGAAGAAGAAGAAGAAGAAGAAGAAAATAAGAAGGGGGAAAAAAAGAAGTAGAAGAAGAAGAGGAAGAAGCAGAAGGAGAAGAATAAAAAGAAGAAGAAGAAGAAGAAGAAGAAGAAGAAGAAGAAGAAGAAGAAGAAGAAGAAGAAGAAGAAGAAGAAGAAGCAGAAGAAGAAGAAGAAGAAGAAGAAGAAAATAAGAAGGGGGAGAAGAAGAAGAAGAAGAAGAAGAAGAGAAGAAGAAGAAGACACTATGATGGTACCTGATTCTATTGTCTGTTGTTGCAGGGATTCCTTCACAAGTCGGTTCAAGATGACGGGCTCAAAGAATAAAAGTGCTCGGTCTAAATTTGGGTACCTTGTTATTGTTGTTGTTGCTGCTGCGGTTGTTTTTGTTGTTGTATGAGTTTATTGTAAGCACAAATGGGAAAGTTCGATTTTAGTGATGTATGACGGGGAGTGACGTGACTGATTTAATGGTTGCAAACTGTGAGCCATGTCAGACAGACAGACAGAAAGGCAGACTAACAGAAAAGTAGACAAGCATACAGTTAATAGAAAAGAACATTGAATACAATAAGAGCTTATTTGTGGCATTCGTAGACCAGGAGAAGGCGTTTGACAGAGTCGACAGACAATTATTATGGAAAATAATGGTAAGATATGGAGTAAGCGAACACCTCATCGAAGTGTGCAAAAGTTTATACAGGGATTGTAGAAGTGTAGTTAGAATAAATCAGGGAACATCTCATCCTTTCACAGTGACATCTGGAGTAGGACAGGGGTGTGTCTTATCACCACTGCTGTTTATCACCTACATCGACAGTATATGCAAGAATGCCAAGCCCATGAATGAAGATCTTAGTAAGATCAACGAATTACTCTTTGCAGATGACCAGGCCTTGATAGCAGATACAGCCATGAAATTGCAACAACATCTAACATCCATGAATGAAGAATGTAAAACAAATAATATGAGAATCAACACTGAAAAGACAGAAGTAATGTCAATAGGAAAAAAGAAGACAGATCTAAACATAGCAATAGAATACAAAGGCATTAAACAGGCATCTGAGTTTAAATATCTGGGAACTACATTTACCGAAGATGGGAAATTGGATAAAGAAATTGACATTAGATGCAGTAAAGCAAACTAAGTATTGGGACAGCTAGCTAGCCCCCCTCTCTACAGCATAAGACAATCCCAATTAGCACAAAGAGACATCTTATTCAAAGCATATTATATTCCAACTCTGTGCTACCAGTGCCAGACATGGTCACTCACAACAAACCATAAAAGAAAATTAGTAACCACGAAAATGAGAAACGTAATTATGCAATTATCTGCAAACGATGCAGCATGTCTGAGAAGGGCTGTAGGAGTGACCATAAGAGATCAAATCAGGAATGAGATCATAAGAGAACAAGTCGGCACAGAACCAACAGCCTTCTGGATTACATACGAAGACAGCAAGTTAATTAAATGGTTTGCCCACTTAGAGAGAATGCCTTGTGACACCACACCATACAAAGCATACATGGAAAGAGAAGAAGGACGTAGAGCACGGGGTAGACCAAGAACAATATGGAAGGATAACATCAGAGAAACTCTACAACAGCACGATGTGCCTATGGTCGAGGCAGCCAGAAGAGCTGGAAACAGAACCTTATATCTCCCTCGACACCCACAGCGGTAAAAGAGGAAGTGAAGAAGACCTCGTTATATATATATATGCTTTTTCTTTAAAAAAGAAATGTATATTTTTAGTTTAACTGTTGTTAGCATTGTCGACTACGGATGGCCCAAGCATTGCAATGATTAAAAAAAAAAAAAAAACAGTAATTGAATGACTGCAATTAATTATGACCAAAGTTGGAACCGCGACAGCCTATTAGTCTGACCCGTCTTTCCCATTGTGGACGCTACTATCTCATTTTGGGTGCTGCTATCTCATTTTGGGTGCTACTATCTCATTTTGGGTGCTACTATCCCCCCTCGGGATGCTAATGAGTTTAGGTGGAGATAGCTGGGTCGGTCAAATTTGTGGACAGGGGAACAGACAAGGAAGCGGTAAGAGCATGGGGGCACTTAGGGGTAACGACTAAACATACGGCAGCGGTGGAGGCAAAGATTAAGTAGAGGATTGGAGAATAATACCGGTGGAGTGGAACGGCCCCAGGGAATCGTGCGCCAGCGGTGGAGACAAAGGTGAGGTAGAAAACAGAAAAAGTAATTTTTTTTAAATTTAAAGAGAGAGGGGGAGAGAGCGAGAGAAGAGGTGAGAAAGAGAGAGAGAGAGAGAGAGAGAGAGAGATCCTAAGTGTTTTTCAAGAATGTCCTATCAGGCCACTGTATACCCTCCAGATGGTTTGGTTTGAGCGCTAGTGTATTGACCAGCTCCGAGTCTGCAAGTGGCGATGAACACCAGAAAGAGATTAAGTCTACGCATCAAGTCTCATCCCTGCATCATGGAACTCCCCCTCGCCTCGAGGCCTCCCTCCATCATCCCTCGCACAAGACCTCCTGTTCTCCCTCGGTCAGCAGGAACTCAGTCAAGAGTGGACACTCACTGTTCAAGATGGCGTGCGATAAGCGCGCTCGCAAGGTCAGATTCTACCGCAACGGGGACCGCTTCTTCAAAGGTATGGTGTTAGCGGTGTCCACCCATCGGTTTCGGACATTTGAGAGCTTGCTGACCGCTCTGACGTCATCTCCAATCTGTAACAGCAAAGTTATGCCCAATGGTGTCCGCTGCATATTTACCCTGAAAGGTGCTCGCGTGGAGTCGCTGGACGAGCTTCAGCATGGGCGTAGCTACGTGTGCTCCTCCACAGACGTGTTCCGGTGCCTGGACTACAGCAGCAATGAGGATCCGGTGTGGAACGCCCATGTGCTGTCACACAATGAGTCCAACCATGCGTGTTCAAAGGTAGGAGTAACACCCACTTACCTACATCTGCGTAAACTTGTTGATGTTGTTGAGGATTTTGTTCTTTTCTTTCACCTGATCTCGGAGACTCCGAGATTTCGCAGAGAGTTCTCGGAAAGTCCAGTATTATAGGGGGTGGAGGTCTATTGTTAGGGTTAGTGCTAGTCGGTTTTCATTTCACACCCTAACATCCCTATACTATTGGACTTTCTTGGAACTCCACAAAATCTCGGAGTCCCCGAGATGGGGTGAAATAAAAGAAAAAAAAAACTATTTTTTTTCTAGTCGGTATACTGTCTTTTTTTCTTCTTCTGCTGCTGTTGCTGCTTCTTCTGTTCTATAGTCCATGTACTGCTTTGCTCTGAGACCTTTAATTGTGAATTCATCTTAATCATTATCAAGTGCCTTGCTGACACGCGTGGGCGATCATACCTGTCTACTATCTGCGGTCTGCAACTGTGTGCATCAGTTCCTGTGTTGACACCGCTTCACGCAATGACATAAGGCTGTCAAGAGTGTTCTTACCTTGTCTTCATCCACTTCTCTTTCCCCAGATCTTTCCAGTGGTCACAACATATCCTAGTTTCCCTTTTCTCATAATATGACCCCTAAAAACAAAAATGATGACATTGAACCTACTCTTTGCAAACATAAGGATAGCACTTTTGTCCGTCTAAGAAATTGCTGTGAGTTCCTCCTACGATATAAAGCTGGGTACAAGCGGGGTATGAAGTAGGTAAAGGACCCCTTTCCACTCCTTAGGCGTATTGCGCACATAGGGCCGGACCTATATTTTATAGATCAATCAGCACTTGGTGGGTGACGTGGTCCATATCACGCCGGCCGCCTTTCATTCCTAGGGCTGTACCTAGTAACAACAATAAATGATGAAGAAATTGAAAATGTCACAAACTTTGAATATCTAGGCTCTATAATAAACAACAATGGAGATTGTTCAACAGAAATTAAAAGGAGGATGGCCATAGCAAGGCAAAGATTGAACAGCCTTAAAAGTCTATGGTTAAGCACCAGCAAGGAGATAAAAATTAGAATTTTGAGAGCATGCATCTTCCCTGTGTCTACATACGGATGTGAGTCGTGGACTATCTCTCAGTCCTTAAGAAAGATAATAGGGGCTTTTGAGCTGAAATGCTGTAGAAAGATTCTCAGAATATCTTGGACAAAGAAGATGAGAAATATTGACATCTTAAAAGATCTGAACATCAAGGAAGATTGGCTAATAAACAGCATCCTTTCTCGAAAGCTGAAATATTTGGTCATATCAGCGCCACGACGGATTGGAAAAAATTATAGCAGAAGGCATGGTACCAGGAAGGAGGGGCAGAGGCCGACCGACACGAAGATGGGCACAGAATATAATTGACACGTTGAGTGTGAAAGTGCATGAGGCGGGAGAACTGGCGAGAGACAGAGTTTCTTTCAGGCAGACTGTGATGAGAGCGACGTTCTGCAAAGGACCTGCTACATGATGATGATGATGATACTTAGTAACAATTATGGCTGGGACGATCTGGAAGCCAGGGTAAACCGGCTGCATCAGGACTCAAACCCACGACTTTCCGATCTGCATGCGAGCTTGCATGAAGTGCACAAGCATTAAAATGGATTCGAAGCGTCAAAATGCGTTGGATTATGTTGCATGACAGAGATACATCTTAGCGCAGAGATATGTGTATGGTGATTTTAAAATTCTCATATTGTAGAGATTTATAGTTGTTTGCCGTATGCATTTCACAGACAGACAGACAGACAGACAGACAGACACACAGACAGACAGACAGAGAGAGTGGAGCGAGCGACAGTGAGACAAAGAACGAACTTTTTTTTTTAGGGTTACAAATTGGGCACGCATGGCGGCCTTGCGTTCGACCCTTTCAAGCACCGATTTTTCATGCGACAGCTGTATTTTATTTGGAGAAAGAGATAGATAGATAGAGATAGTGAGAGACACACACAGAGGGAGAGATAGGAAGAGAAGGAGAAAGAGGGGAGAATGGGCTAGAGAGAGAGAAAGAACGAGAGAGAGAGAGCAAAGGGGGGCGGGGGGTGTTAAATATATATTTTAACGTTTGAGAGTCTCATAAATTTGCAAATATCTGTTCAGTATCTCAGAGGGGATTCAACTTATTGTTTAAATGATCAGTATCTAAGAGAGGGAGGCATTAAATGGTTTGTCTAATAAGTGTTCCAGAAGGGATGATATCTAAAGGTTTGTCTAATAACTGTTTCAGAATTAAAGATATCTAAAGGTTTGTCTAATAAGTGTTCCAGAGATGAAGATGTCTAATAGTTGGTCTAATACGCGTTCCAGAATGTAAGATATCTAAAGGTTTATCTAATAAGTGTTCTGGAAGGAAAGACATCTAAAAGTTTGTCTAATGACTGTTACAGAAGGAAAGATATCTAAAGGTTTGTCTAATAAGTGTTCCAAAAGGGAAGATATGTAAAGGTTTGTCTAATATAAGTGTTCCAGAAAGGAAGGTATCAAAAGATGTGTCTAATAATTGTTCCGGAATGAAAGATATCTAAAGGTTTGACTAATTGATGTTCCAGAAGGGAAGATATCATTGGTTTGTCTAATAAGTGTTTCAGTGTGGAAGTATCTAAAGGTTTGTCTAATAAGTGTTCCAGGATGGAAATTATCTAAAGGTTTGTCTAATAAGTGTTCCAGAGATGAAGATGTCTAATGGTTGGTCTAATACGTCTTCCAGAATGTAAGATATCTAAAGGTTTATCTAATAAGTGTTCCAGAAGAAAAAATATATTAAATATCTTGTCTAATAAGTGTTCCAGAATTAAAGTTATCTAAAGGTTTGTCTAATCAGTCTCACAGGCGAGATCGACTCCGGGAGGAGCACAGGACGCAAGATTGTGAAACGTACTCGACATCATCAGCGCAGAGTCAGTCCAGGCCTCACAGTGCTCGGGGGGAGAAATCGAGGGGTGCCAGGTCAAAGTCCACGAAGGTACCTCGTCGTCTGTTGTTTGCTCTTTTGCTGTAGACTTTAGATATACATCCACCCGCCTGTGGACAGTAGAGTGTTGCTATACAGATGATAAACAGGCTGGCCTAGAAATACATGGGCCGCCTGGTGTAGCGACTAGACGCTCGCCTGTGGATCAGAAAGGTCGTTGGTTCAAGTCTAGACCATTACGGACTTTTTTTTTCAAAAATGATCTTGGCTCTGAGGTTGACCCAGCCTTGGGGGGAGGAACGGGGAGGCGGTACCATGTATAGTCAATGGAAGTAAAGGCGGCTGGCGTGATAAATTTAGGTTAAGCGCTAGATGCCCAGTAGACCTGACTGCGTGGAAATGTTCCTATACTTTTATTGCTACAAACATTTAAAGTTGCCAACTGGTAACCGTTCCGGTTTTAGGCAGAAACAATCGCCACATTCATCCAGTATCCCAAGAGGGGGAGCTTTTGGTTATAACTGTGACTAGTTTTTTTCTGTCGCCAAATAGAATGGTTTAACATTGCTCCCCATCAAAAAGTCCTCAAAAAAGACTCTTGCAGCATTGATGCCATCAATGGAGACAGATCCTGAATCTGTCCCGACCGATGACGAGGTCGTCTACCGACCACTCAGTGGGCGACGCGGTCTTCGACATGTTCAACTGGTAACAAGGAGGATAATTACAGAGATGAATGGAGGCGGGACAAAACTGCAGCGGTGAACCTCAGCGGTTCGAATGATGAAGAGGATATGTCATTCTCTAGTATCTGCATGTTTTCTCTGTCATCAGCATGCTCTGTGATGATATACTCAGCATTTCATGTGTCCTGTATGTCCTCAGCATCTTCTATGTCTTCAGAATGTCCTGTGTCTCGTATGTCTTCCGTATCTCTTGTCTCGTTTATGTTCACTACCCCCAATGTTTCAATTGTCATTTACCTCATGTGTCTCCTCCTCCTCCTCCTTCTGCTGCTGTTTCTTCTTCTTTCCTTTTCCTCACACTTTCCCGTCTCCTGCTTTTACTTTCGTATGAAAACTCAGGATGTTCATTGATTTCTGCGAAGGATTAATGCTGACACAGGCGACTGAGGCGCTATATTCTTTCTAATGTCTTCTTTGCGTCATACTTACAGCAGCCGTAGATCAAGTGTAGACGTTAATCTATCTCTCTTAGTGGAAAAACCCAGATCTGGGGCATATAACTGATTTTCTATCATGGATATACCGGTGTGCAGGATAATAAGAAGGCAGGTTCGGGAACAGGACTGCAGTCCAGAAGTGGACGAACAACCATAACTTTCCGCCAGTTTATAGCTGGTGAACGCAAAGAAGAAGAAGAACTGGACGTCAAATATAACAGAATATCTATACCTCGAATGACTGATGTAGCAGAGAGTTTTATTTTAAAAAAAGGGGGGGGGGGAGGGGGGAGGGGGTTACAGAGCTTTTAGATGCCATTCAGTGCTCTGGGGAAAGTATTTGCGGACTTTCTGCTCAAGTCGCAAAAAGTAGTATTATCATAATAAATCTTCTTTGGCTGCCACAGAAGGAGACAGAGCACATGCGGGAATGTGCCGAGTGCAGTAATATCGTTTAATTCATTCATTCACAGAGGAAAGGTAATGTTTTCTAACTGTGATCTCCTAGAGTGAGATGTGCGCCTCAGAGCGGAAGGTTTATGAGGAGTACCAGAGATCATTCGTGACCCCGCGGCTCATCACTGTGGTCAGGAACGGCAGAAGGCCCAGGAGAGCCTTCAGGTTGCTGCTCAACAAGAAAACAGCCCAGACCTTTGATCAAGTAAGCCTCCAGTTTCTCCGTGGGATTGAGGCCAAAGTTTGTCCTGTAGACAGAGCGCTTTTGTGATATTCAAATTATAATTTACTCGTTAATAGTACTTAATATTAATTAATAACTTTATGTTATGGCAGACCAGACCAGACCCTTGTAGCCTTGGCTGGCAGCTGGTCTAGGAGGGAAGCTTCGACAGGCGCACAAATAGAGCACTGCTCTCCTGATCCGGCAGCTTCTGCAGCCTGCTTTGTTCCAAATGTACTGGTGTTACCTTTCCTTAGGAGTACACAAGGCAGGTCTAGCTAGGGATCATGATGCATGGGCAACATATGGTCTCTACAATACTTCTCAGGCTTTGTGCTATAGAGAGGAGGAACTTCATCCCTGGTCGTAATTCACACGGGCGGGTCTTGCTAGTCACACTCGCCATCGCCATGGGCTGTGAGTCCCATGCCTCTTCAGAGAAAAATATAACACTATCGTATGAAAAGACCGGAAAGTGCCAATCAATCAATTAGTTAATAGTACTGTATGTGATTATTGGCACTTATAGATACAGAAGAAAGAAATAGAGAGGTGGAGGGGGAATTTCTTTCTTGATATATGAGTGTCAATATGTACAACCTTTATCTATCGGCATGTCTTTTACAGAACCTCACTCTCGCTCTCTATCGCTAGCCCATTATTCAGAATCCTGTCACGAAAGCTGAGCTATTTTAGCCATGTTGAAGGTTACGGCGGCCTGAAAACAATAAGGATGGAGGGCAGCTTCAGGAAAACGAGGCAGAGTCATACCTCTGCAAAGGTGGATACAAGACACTGAAGATGTATTGGCTATAAAGCACATAGGGTTGGATAACTGGCTAGGGAAATTGGCTAGAGAAAGAGAGAGAGAGAGAGAGAGAGAGAGAGAGAGAGAGAGAGAGAGAGAGAGAGAGAGAGAGCTCCAGGCGCGCTGTGACGAGAGCGACGTTCTGTTAAATCCTGCTGACTAATGGTGGTGACGGTTTGGGGAAACAAGACACGGAATATAGACATGAAACGTCAAAGACACCCGGACATGGAGAAGACGGGAGGATGAGGCCCAAAGGTACAAGTCGAGAGGAACATCGACTTCATTGCTCTCAGTCTGTATCCCATGTGGCTCATTCTCTCTCCGTAGATCTAAAAGCTGCCTGCCGAGAGCTTTCGTTCTTCTTCAGCGATCTCTGGTCTCGTCATGCTCTTAATCCACAGTGGACCATCAACTTGGATGTCATCTTGAGGTCTCTTTCTCAAAGCTTAGTTGTCAGGTGGACTGGGAGTGGCTACATGTTGCTTCGTAGCTGCTCCAAGAGAGGACACTCTTGCAAGACCCTTTCAAGAATCTGTTCAGCACGAAGACATTGACAGACCGCTGTTTAACTCATACTTAATTTATATGAGTGTGTGTTGAGTCTGCGGTGTTCCACTGCGAAAGCAAACAAATTGTAACTTGGTCTGTTCTGTTCAAATGAGTGAGGAAATATTTTTCATAATTATAACCGGTGTTTGTTTTCTAATCTGTTTCTGATGGGCCTCGCTTAGAGCACTAACGGTGAGTCTCGTTCATGTCTACTGCCCTCCTGAACACAATGTAAGAGTCCATGTAACGAACATCCGACTTTCAGGAAGCTAGGCCAAAGGCTTGGCCACTGAGCCACGGAGACCCCTATTCTCCTCCCTCTTCGAAATCATAGGCCAATAGCCATTTGAGGAAAGGTATTGGTGGGGTGTGAATTGGGATTAGAATGATGTCCTATAAAGAGAATGTGTGTAATGTTGCTGCTGTTGTTGGTGATGATGATGGTGATGATAATGATGATGATGATGGTGTCGATGGTGATGTTGATGATAACATTGATGATGATTACCATGTCACTTCCCGGTGAACTGTTGTTCCCAAGTTATGGAAGTGAAGTACATAGTAGAACTTGTCGTCTCTCTGCATACAACAACGACGACAATAGCAGCAGCTACAGCAGCAACAACACCACCAACAACAACGACAACAACAACAGTCTATTTACCTCCTAGGTGATGGCTGACATCACGGAGCTCATTAAGCTGGACTGTGGTCGGGTGAGCAAGATTTTCACCATGTCGGGTCAACAGGTCAGTGACCTACTTCTTGCAATACTTCTTCTTCTTCTTCGTGTTCACCAGCGGTAAGCTCCGGCGAAAGGTTCTGGTTGTTCGGCCACTTCTGGACTTTAGTCTGGCTCCTGAACCTAAGTTTACATCTGTTCTACAGATCTGACTTATTCGTATGCACTCTTGGTTCCTTGCCTCTCGGGTTGATGCACTCTGACTTCCAAGGATGCCCCCCAAATAGTCGACTCCCCCCCTCCCACCCCCACCCCCACCGTTTACTGCTACTCCTCACACTCGCATATATTTTTTTTTAATTTTATTCTATTACCCCCCCCCCCCCCCACCTCCATCCCACAGCCCCTTCTCTGTTCTCGCTATCTCCCACTTTTCTCACTCTTTTATCTGCCACTTACCTTCTCTGTTTCATTTCTTTACTCTCACACTCTCTCTTTCCTCTTTCTCCCTCTTCTCCTATCCTTCGGTTTTTTTTTCTCTCTCCAACTTTCCCTTTCTTTTCTCTTTCATCTCTCCCCTTTCTCTCTCTCTCTTTTCTGCCTCCTCCCTTCCCCATACCCTTTATCGTTTCATATTAAGACTGATTACATCTCTCTCTCTCTCTCTCTCTCTCTCTCTCTCTCTCTCTCTCTCTCTATCTTTCTCTCTCTGCGTCTCTGTCTGTCTGTCTGTCTGTCTGTCTGTCTGTCTGTCTGTCTGTCTGTCTGTCTGTCTGTCTGTCTGTCTGTCTGTCTGTCTGTCTGTCTGTCTGTCTGTCTGTCTGTCTGTCCGTCTGTCTCTCTCTCTCTCTCTCTCTCTCTCTCTCTCTCTCTCTCAGTGTGTCTGTGTCCGTCGGTCCATGTAAGCAGGTGTCTTAAGTATGACCACGTCGTGTGTATGTGTGTGTGTGTGTCTGACAACGCCATATTTCCGTGTGTGAGCAAGTGTCTTAAGACTGACCACGTCTTGAGTTTGTGTATCTGTCCACGACCGCTTGATCGTCTGTCTGTCTGTCTGTCTGTCTGTCTGTCTGTCTGTCTGTCTGTCTGTCTGTCTGTCTGTCTGTCTGTCTGTCTGTCTGTCTGTCTGTCTGTCTGTCTGTCTGTCTGTCTGTCTGTCTGTCTGTCTATGAGCAGGTATCTTAAGTATGACCTCGTGAGCAGATGCCCTAATTCTGACCACGACTTATGTCTGTCTATTAGCAGGTGTCTTAATTCTGACCACGACTTATGTCTGTCTGTTAGCAGGTGTCTTAATTCTGACCACGACTTGTGTCTGTCTGTAAGCTGGTGTCTTAATTCTGACCACGACTTATGTATGTCTGTAAGCTGGTGTCTTAATTCTGACCACGACTTATGTCTGTCTGTAAGCTGGTGTCCTAATTCTGACCACGCCTTATGTCTGTCTGTGATCTGGTGTCTTAATTCTGACCACGAATTATGTCGAGCTGGTGTCTTAATTCTGACCACGACTTATGTCTGTCTGTTCAAATGTGTAAGCTGGTGTCTGAAGTCTGACTACGATTTATGTCTGTCTTTGAGCTGTTGTCTTAAGCCTGGCTACATCTTATCTTTGTCTGTGAGCAGGTGTCTTAAATCTGACTACGACTTATGTCTGTCTTCGAGCTATTGTCTTAAGTCTGACCACATCTTATCTTTGTCTGTGAGCAGGTGTCTTGAGACTGATCACGTCTAATCTCTGTCTGTGAGCAGGTGTCTTTAAGTCTGATCACGTTTTATGTCTGTCTGTGAGCAGGTGTCTTTAGACTGACCATGTTTTATCTCTGTCTGTGAGCAGGTGTCATTAAGTCTGACCATGTCTTATCTCTGTCTGTGAGCAGGTGTCTTTAAGTCTGACCACGTCTTATCTCTGTCTGTGAGCAGGTGTCTTTAAGTCTGACCACGTCTTATCTCTGTCTGTGAGCAGGTGTCTTTAAGACTGACCACGTCTTATCTCTGTCTGTGAGCAGGTGTCTTTAAGTCTGACCACGTCTTATCTCTGTCTGTGAGCAAGTGTCTTTAGACTGACAATGTCTTATCTCTGTCTGTGAGCAAGTGTCTTTAGACTGACCATGTCTTATCTCTGTCTGTGAGCAGGTGTCTTTAGACTGACCATGTCTTATCTCTGTCTGTGAGCAAGTGTCTTTAGACTGACAATGTCTTATCTCTGTCTGTGAGCAGGTGTCTTTAAGTCTGACCACGTCTTATCTCTGTCTGTGAGCAGGTGTCTTTAAGTCTGACCACGTCTTATCTCTCTCTGTGAGCAGGTGTCTTTAGACTGACCATGTCTTTTCTCTCTCTGTGAGCAGGTGTCTTTAGACTGACCACGTCTTATCTCTGTCTGTGAGCAGGTGTCTTTAAGTCTGACCACGTCTTATCTCTCTCTGTGAGCAGGTGTTTTTAGATTGACCACGTCTCATCTCTGTCTGTGAGCAGGTGTCTTTAGATTGACCACGTCTCATCTCTCTCTGTGAGCAGGTGTCTTTAAGTCTGACCACGTCTTATCTCTGTCTGTGAGCAGGTGTCTTTAAGACTGACCACGTCTTATCTCTGTCTGTGAGCAGGTGTCTTTAAGTCTGACCACGTCTTATCTCTGTCTGTGAGCAGGTATCTTTAGTCTGACCACGTCTTATCTCTGTCTGTGAGCAGGTATCTTAAGTCTGACCACGTCTTATCTCTGTCTGTGAGCAGGTGATGTGTTTGGCGGATTTCTTCCAGAAAGAAACGTTGTTTCTAGCCTGTGGAACCGAGAAGCTGGCCACGCAAGATCTGACACTGGACAAACAGGGTCAGTGGTCAGTGTTGATCGTTGAAGAAACTGGGATCCTATCAAAGTGGGTCGTATTGTGCTCGTTGTTCTAGAGACTGACAATATCAACAAACAAATCCGTTTTATTATTTTTATTATTATTATTATTATTATTATTATTATTATTATTATTATTATGATGATGATGAAAGCCTTATATTTTTTTTAGAGAAAAAGGTGCCAGTACTCATCCCACACAGGACGGTGCCGTTCTATGATGCAGAAACACCAAACTGTAAGGGGCAGCAGATGCCGGGAAATTCACATACATTTTGAACTTTTATGGGGCGGCTTTTCAAAGACTAGCATCAGGCTAAGAAGTTCTATCGCATCATTCTGGACCCCCCCCCCCCCCCCCAATCCCCACATGGATCAGTACTAGTGTCTATTGCAGCAGCTGTAAACACAAAATGTATGCCTAGAAAACATACCTTTGCGTACTGCAAAAAAAAAGTCCTTATGTTGCGGGTGGTGGTGTAGATGTTGCTGCTACTACTACTACTGCTGCTGCTGTTGATACTGCTGCTGTTCCTACTACTACTACTACTACTACTACTACTACTACTACTACTACTACTACTACTACTACTACTACTACTACTACTATTACTATTACTACTATTACTACTACTACTGTTGATACTGCTGCTACTACTGCTGCTGTTGATACTGCTGCTGCTCATCCTACTACTACTACTACTACTACTACTACTACTACTACTACTACTACTACTACTACTACTACTACTACTACTACTACTACTACTGCTGCTACTACTACTGCTACTACTGCTGCTGCTGCTGTTGATACTACTGCTACTATTACTACTACTACTATTACTACTACTACTACTGTTGCTGCTGCTGCTACTACTGCTGCTGCTGCTCATCCTACTACTACTACTACTGCTGCTGCTGCTGCTGCTACTACTACTACTACTACTGCTGCTGCTGCTGCTGCTACTACTACTACTACTACTACTACTACTACTACTACTACTACTACTACTACTACTACTACTACTACTACTACTACTACTGCTGCTGCTACCTCCACATTTCCTGCATTTGCAGAACTCCGTCTCATCAGATCATACCAGCCGTACAACGGTAAAGCCAAGGAGAGGCACGGACTCAGACGGTTGGAGCACTGTCCGCGGAAATCTTCCGGTAAACACGGTCCTATGTGACTGCATGTCTCTGTGGTTTTAGAATAAGTACTACATAGAACAGTCTGTGCTTATACGTACAATTGTCTCCTTCTTCTCCTCGTTCTTCTTCCTCTCCTCCTCCTTCACCTCTTCTCTTCTCGTTCAACAATTGCCCTGTCTGGAGCAAGCGTTAATACTCTCACTAATCTAACACGTACATAAATACAACCTCATGACAGACTCGAAACTCTGCAAGCGACTGTGTATTGCTTATTTAATGCATTTGTGTTATTAGTTAAGCATGGACGAAGTGGATAAAGGACACATCCACGCACCCACACACACACATAAATACACACACAAAAACACACACAATGTTACATTCCAGCATTGACTCAGCATAAAACATCACCACTCAGACATCCCAGCATTAGCTCTACATGAAACATCACCACTCAGACATTCCAGCATTGACTCAACATGAAACTTCACCAGTCGGACATCCCAGCATTGACTCTTCATGAATCATTACCACTCAGACATCCCAGCATTGGCTCTACATGAAACATCACCACTTAGACATCCCAGCATTGGCTCTAGATGAAACATCAACACTCAGACATCCCAGCATTGGCTCTACATGAAACATCACCACTCAGACATCCCAGCATTAGCTCTACATGAAACATCACAACTCAGACATCCCAGCATTGGCTCTACTTGAAACATCACCACTCAGACATCCCAGCATTGGCTCTACTTGAAACATCACCACTCAGACATCCCAGCATTAGCTCTACATGAAACATCACCACTCAGACATCCCAGCATTAGCTCTACATGAAACATCACCACTCAGACATCCCAGCATTGGCTCTACTTGAAACATCACCACTCAGACATCCCAGCATTGGCTCTACTTGAAACATCACCACTCAGACATCCCAGCATTAGCTCTACGTGAAACATCATCAGTCAGCCAGCCCTTTACGACACGCCTGCTAGTATCTCTGTCTCTAGCCATTTCGCCAGCACTACACGCTTTCGTCGTCAATGCATCCCCAATATCTGGTCTCCCCCTTAGTTTATGTCGTCTCATGCCTCGTTTCTTTTCTTCAAAAATGACCTTGGCTCCCAGGTCGACCCAGCCTTGAGTGGGTACCGGGTGCAATCCCGGGAAGTAGAGGCGGCCGGCGTGATGCTGACCACATCACCCATCTTGTGCCGTTGGTCTATAAAAATATAGGTCTAGCCCTATATGCCCTATACGCCTAAAGGCGTGGAAAGGGTCCTTTACTTTTTACTTTTACATGCCTCGTTTTCCATATACTACCCTCTATGCCCATTCTCCGTAGTCCGTCATAACGTTTAACATGCTAAAATACCTCAGCTTTTCGAGACAGGATTCTGTTCAAGAACAAGTTCTTCGCGATTATCAGATCATGTGTAATGTCGATGGTTTTGTTTTCCCCTTTTAGTCCAACGTATTGTTTTGTAATATTTTAATTCAGAAAAGAAAACATAACATGATCTAAAGACACACATAACGTATTGAGTATTTTAACAATTTATATTCTTACGTCCTTTTTAGGATGTAATTTTTTGTTATTTGAAGCCCCACTCTGGCTTTTGCCAGGGGCCGCAATATAGGCAGGCCATAAATATGACCAGTTGTCTGAACGCGGTTTCTGGGACCTCTCCACGGCGATCCTCATCCACATGGTGGCACTTTGTGTCATCGGGTGTTTATCGGTTGTGTGATGTCCTAGTGGGGTAGAAAGTCAGTCAGTCAGTCAGTCAGACATAACGTGTTCTGACTTGTTTTATGGTTTCTCTCGCCGATCACCCACAGGCAGGGATTGTCACAGATCCGAGCATCTTCATGGACAGTGCCCCAACGTAGAGGTTTGTAGCTTTTACGTGAACATCATCATCATCATTTTTATCATCATCATCGTCGTGGTCGTCGTCATCCTCATCATCCTTATCATCATCACCACCACAAACCACTGTCTACATCATCATCCTTCCTACCACCACCGTCATTATCACCACTGTCTTCAGAATAATTACCGTCAGCTCAACCACAAATATCCCCACGATCTTTATCATTATTATCATCATCGTCGTCACCTTTATTATCACCTTTATCGTCACCACGATCATTTTTTTTATCGCCACCACATCATCATCGTTATCTCATAATCATCTTTATAATCATCATTATCATAATATCAATATCACCATCATCGTCATCATTATTATCTTCACAGCAACTTCATCATTGTGCTTGTCATTGACAACACCCTGATAACTGTTGGGTCTTGTGTGGTTGTAAACAAGTGAATTAGGGCACATTAAACCATTGTATTTCTTTATAAATCGGGGTACATCTGCCCGAGCGGTAAGAAACAACCAGTTTCACACAAATAGGCCAGTAAAACGGATGTACACGCAAAACTCAGGCCCTGGCATGAAGCCAAAGTTCAAAAGGATGAACAACCAGAACTTTCCACCGGAGCTTACAGACGGCGAACAAAGAAGAAGAAACTTTAGTATGTTGTCACATAAAGTAGAATAAACTGAAAAGTCTTGTGTCTGTATCGTTAGTGAAGGTTTATGATCAAGTGACAATCTGCGTCATAACCATTACCTACACAATGGGAGGCGAGGAGTTGAACCATACGTAGTAGTGTTGGACAAGGGAGACATTGTGAAGACCACATAGGAACGAACGTTGGTAGAAGACATGGGGTTAGATGAAATAACTCTTCCTGTTTTCTTCTTTTGTCAAAATTTGCTTGTGCCGCTAGGCGTCGCAGTCTATCAGATGATCGGCAACCGAGCCAGGGCGCGCTCAGTCGCTTCATATGCCGTGATGTTATGAAGTCTCAAGAACTTGTCTTTCCCCTGCCTCTGGTGTTTCGATTTTCATGTTGTATGCTCTTGATGGTGGCATCGTTGGTTCCATTCTCATTAGGTGACCAAAACCATAACCTTCTTTGCTTCTCAAAAATTTAACGATGGATGGTTCCAATACTTGTAATCACATCGTTTCTCAATCTCTTCTGAATTCCAAACATCTCATTTCACAGGTGGTTAATCTTTTCTCGTGTTCTTTTGTTAATGTCCAAGTCTGACATTGACCTAATGTCGGTATAAAGATTGTATTTATAATTTGTCTTTTTTATAGCTGGGACAGCAGGGTGTTTTAAAATTGGGGCAAGCTGGTAGCGACATTGTTGGCTTGTTGGATTCTTGCTTCGACCTCTCTGTCTATGGATGTAAAAATACTTCCCAAGTATTTAAATTCTTGCACTTGTTTTAGGCTGTGATCTAGAATCTTTATGTCGATGGTCTGTTGCTCTCTACTTATGCTCATGACTTCTGTCTTTTCAGTATTGATCTTCATATGATGCTTGAGGCAACTGTCGTGTAGTAGGTTTAGCTTGCAGCTGTTTACTATCACTGTGAAATATGCAATTGATCGTCGGCAAAGAGCAGCTCATTGAAGTCCTCCTGTTTATCGGTTGGTGTTTAGATTTTATTAATATTGTCCATAAATATTATGAAAAGTAAAGGTGATAATACACAACCTTGTCTTACTCCTGATGTTACTGGGAACAAGTCTGTGATGCCAGCTCTTGTTCTAATGGCGGATGAAATAACATGTGTAAAAATATGTGAGAACGAAGAATTAGGAGTGGATCCGACAAGGACGACGTATAAAAGTAGGAGAACAACGTGTGTATGATAATTGTGATACGGGAACAGTTAGCTACACCTGAAGACATTTGCTGCGGGAGACGGAGCATCTCTGGGTATGCCCGGTGTCGATTCTTAAATCAGCAGTCAGTAATGTAATATTGCTTCAGGATAAGCCTAACAAGTGGTGAAGAACTATTTAAACTTCTCTGTTGTCACCATATAAACAAGGGGACTGCATATCTCGAGGCACGGCGTCCGCCCCGAGTGCGGGAGGTCCCGGGTTCAAGCCCTTGTGAAGGCTGGGATTTTTTTCACATGAACTTCTAGTAATTTCCCGTGGTCTCTGGGTAGTAAGAACAAACGCCCGTGTGTATAGTTGCGCACGTAAAAAATCCCTTGGCACTTGGAAATTGAAAAGAGTAGCCTAAAGGCGTTGCCCGGGCAGAATTTGTAGTTAAAAATCTACCCCAAGTATTTCATGATCTTTGCCGTAGCTACGGAGTTCGTGTTCTGCGCTGATATTCTTCGGACTCAGGCTTAGAGTCAGGAGTAGAACGGATCACTAATGAGTTACTACCCTTTCTGTCATGATGTTGATCTGCCGTATAAACCTAAACTTTAACATAAACATAATCATCTAAACAGGTTTCCCAGGTGGGGGCTGACCATCGTGGATAGTTATCTCCATTGTTCATAAATAACTACAATAGCTGCGGGATGCAAAAGCGCTTAACCACACTCGATGGTGCACAAGAATCAAGACACAAACACTGACCATGTCCTCTGTACGCCCCTCTCAGAGCCTGACCAACGTAGGATCGATGTGTTTGTTCCTTTGAAATCTCAGTACATCTGCCTGAGAGCCGAGGAACCAGTCTGCATACAGAGATAAGCTAGATCTGTGAAACGGATGTACACGCAGTGCTAAAGTTCTGGAACTAGACGAAAGTCAAAAAGTGGACAAACATCTAAAACTTTCCGCTGGAGTTACATCTTGTGAACGCCACGAAGAAAAAGAAACGCAATGACTTAAGCAGTAAAACTCTGGACAAGCGATGATTTAGAGGATATAACGTCATATGTATGTAACCCATGCTCATATGTATGTTCCCATGCTCATATGTATGTTACCCATGCTCATATGTATGTTACCCATGCTTCGATACACTTTTTTAACTGACTTTGTGGCAAATAAGTAGCTGTGAGAAATAAACCCGACAAAAGCTTGAGTGACAATTCCTTGGTGATTTTTCTTTCAGAGGGACATCAAGACAGTCAATAAAGACAACATCGGTGAGGGTTTGTGTGTGTGTGTGTGCTGTGAGTTTCCATGAAGCAGTCAGCTGGATGCTCTGATTTCGACAGGCATCAATATTTATAATACCTTTCTATCATTTCTTGTTATTTATTTATTTAATTTCATAACCCCCTGGTTTTCCACCTTTTCTTTTATGTTTCTATTCCTAACAGCTTTTCCATTTTTACTTTTATGTTTTTCCGGTTTCACACTGACCCTGTCGTTCGTTCAACACTGTCAGACTCAGTCCGTGTTTTGTTTTTTTTAAGCTTATGGCTAATATTAACAAATAAATGTTTAAATGTGCAACGACTCTCCTCAGGCTCTAGTCGCACGCAGCCCTCTCGGGCACACTGACAGATAGTTCAACATAATCGTGAACACGGGCAAGAAACGTCAGAAACACCACACATCTGCTACGAAATATTTTTTGGTTCAGACAACTGTTCGCCTCTGTTAATGCACTAGAGATATAAACGTCTAGGTTCGACCAAATCGGCGGCATACAAAAGTATAAACACTGTTAGCGTTACCTTCACAGGATGATCAAATAAGCCATTTTAACCATAGACACTTCAATGGCTACCAAACGTAAACTTGAGCAAAAACGCTAATCTCACAGCAGACGCCAACCAACCCATTTGTACGGAACTGGATGGTCAGGTTTTTCTGGCCAGATCGGCTGCTCGAGCTAACATTCAATTACTCTGGAGATTCACTTACTTCTCATTCTTCAAGCGCCACACGACCCGGCTTTATCAACATCGAAAACAAGACTTACACTTCTCATTCTTCAAGCGCCACACGACCCGGCTTTATCAACATCGAAAACAAGACTTACACTTCTCATTCTTCAAGCGCCACACGACCCGGCTTTATCAACATCGAAAACAAGACTTACACTTCTCATTCTTCAAGCGCCACACGACCCGGCTTTATCAACATCGAAAACAAGACTTACACTTCTCATTCGTTCCAAGTTTAAATAGCTTATTTCTCTCTCGAGTTCTCGAACGTTCCACACATGATTCATGCTTTTCTTTCATCTGGCACGCTTCAGCCAACTTGCATGCTTGCCTCGGGTTATTCTTTTACTCGATCCATTCATGCGTACATTATGCATACCTTTCTTTGGGCTTGATACTATTCAACCAAATTCGAGCACATACTTTACACTTAGTATTTAACCTCATTTGCAAATGATGAAAACATTCATTAACAAATGAAAAAATTATTCATTACAGAATTTTAAGCATTTTAGATAGTAATCATATGCGACATGTGGTTTAGGTAACAAATTGAATATAAGGAGTTAATGTAGCACATACAGAGACTACATCAAATTAAAAACACATCATACTAGAAATAACTGATAACCGCATGGTACGTTCATTGGTACTGAATGAGTTAATTAGCTGTTAGTATGTCCTTTTTTGTCGGCGTCTGTGACTTACGCACTTTGTAAGGCCCGGGTGCCGGGTTCGATCCCAGCTGCGGGCCTTGCGCCTGGCGTTGGTTTCGACAGTGGTATCGAGAAGCTGACCGTCCAGAAGCAATGGCAAACTACTGGACCTAAAAATGCCTAGAAAAATCACAGCAGCCAAAAAAAAAAAAAAAAAAAATGCTAGGATTGGTTTTGCAAAGTCCTGTAAAGGATACGCAACTAAGTATGTCCTTTGTTAAAAAATCTGTTTGCACATTTGGTTATATTTGTCGCTAGCCTTGTTGTCTGTAATCTCTAGCCAGTTTTGTGTAAACTGAAAAGGATCCTACTTCTAAACTGAATTTTTTTTTAACTGTAATCCCCCACCCCCGCCCCACGATTAAAACACTCACCCCCGCCCCACGATTACAACACCCACCCTTGCCCTACGATTACAACACTCACCCCTGTCCCACGATTACAACACCCACCCCCGCCCTACGATTACAACACTCACCCCCGCCCTACGATTACAACACCCACCCCCGCCCTACAATTACAACACCCACCCCGCCCCACGATTACAACACCCACCCCCACCCCACGACTACAACACTCACCCTTGCCCCACGATTACAACACCCACCCTTGCACTACGATTACAACACTCACCCCTGTCCCACGATTACAACACCCACCCCGCCCTACGATTATAACACTCACCCCCGCCCTACGATTACAACACCCACCCCCGCCCTACAATTACAACACCCACCCCGCCCCACGATTACAACACCCACCCCCACCCCACGATTAAAACACTCACCCCCGACCCACGATTACAACACTCACCCCCGCCCCACGATTACAACACCCACCCCCGCCCCACGATTACAACACCCACCCCCGCCCCACGATTACAACACTCACCCCCGCCTCACGATTACAACACCCACCCCCGCCCCACGATTACAACACTCACCCCCCGCCCTACGATTACAACACTCACCCCCCGCCCCACGATTACAACACCCACCCCCGCCCCAACGATTACAACACCAACCCCCGCCCCACGATTACAACACCTACCCCGCCCTACGATTACAATACCCACCCCACGATTACAACACTCACCCCACGATTACAACACCCAGCCCCACACTTATATGCACAGACACAGTGCTAAGGAAACACTTGGTTATGTTTCAGATACATACATCTCACAGCTGCACATGCCGCTCTCACTGACAAACAAGTACGAGGTGGGCACCCTGATCGGCACCGGAAACTTCGCAGTGGTCATGGAGTGTAAGGAGAAGTAGGTATCCCCGTGGGCCAGGTCTGGGGTCTGGTCAAGGCAACTAAAAGAGCAGACAAAGCTATAGTCCAGTCAACTTTACCAGCAAGCATCACAGGAAGATCACGCTGGGTCTTGTCAACTCTTATCATCATCGTCATCGTCCTCAGTCAGCTGGTGTTTGCAGAACGTCGCTCTCGTCACGACACACTTTAAAGTCTTTCTATCTCTAGCAGTTCTAACAAAGTATGATGGTTATTGCTATTACATCCAGTTTCGTCCTTTTTAGGACGAAATTTTTTGTCATTTGAAGCCCTACTCTGGCTTTTGCCAGGGGCCGCAATATAGGCAGGCCATACATATGGCCAAATGTCTGAACGCGGTTTCTGGGACCTCTCCACGGCGATCCTCATCCGCATGGTGGCACTTTGTGTCATCGGGTGTTTATCGCTTGTGTGATGTCCTAGTGGGGTAGAAAGTCAGTCAGTCAGCAGTTCTAACAGCCCCATGTGCTTTAAAAGCCAAAGTATCTTCAGTGACTTGTATACACCTATGCGGAGGTCTACGTCTGCCTTGTTTTCCGGAAACTGTACTTGGTAGTACACTCTCTCATGACCATTCTCCCCAAGCCACCATGACAGTTGTTAACATGACAGAAATACTTTAACTTTGGAGACAAGATGCTGTTTATGAGCCAGTTCTCCTCGATACTCAGATCATGCATGATCTCTGTGTTTTCCTTCTACTCGGCCTGTGGTATTCTAAGAGCTTGTATCTGTCAGTTCTACCAGAGTAGTGTATGAATCAACTTGGGACCGCATCGGTATCGATTTGTGCTGAGCCGCCTTATTTATCCTTAGTAAAAGATGGCGGCCATCTGACATCGTAAGTGATCGGTTTTTCCCCGGCGGCTTGATTAAGCCGCCCTCTTTTATCCTTAATAAATATCGATCGGGCGGCTGATGACGTCACGAGTGATTGATTTTCCCGGGTGGGGGAAGGTAAATGAAATCGGAACTTTGTCTCCGGGGGTGTCGGTATTTTCTTATAGGGTAATTTAAGGCAAATCGATATTTCTTTAGTGCAGGGCCAGATTTATGACAAAGTGGCGGATGACTCATTTCCCACAGGCAATATGAAAGGCCTTAGTGATTTCTCGCCGTTTTTTCAGCACCGCAAAGGGCGAGGTTCTTTTATGATGGACCGATGGGAAGGGGTGTAATGTTATCTGACACTTTTGCCTGCGTTTTTATTGTTATGTACAGGGAAATGAGTGATTGGCAGCTATTACATGTAACTGTGGGGTTTTTTTTTTCTCTGAATAATTAAACAGACTTTCCAAGTACACAACGGACACATGCGTAGCATTCGCTGCGGTACATAGGCGGCCCCCGGGTGGACTTTGAAAGAGGCACACAACAGCAATTTCACCTGTTAGTGGGGTACCATAATCACGCCGATCGTGATTACCTCACTTTCAGTGCTAGCGCGTGAGTTCCTATCGCCAATGCTCTCACATGTTTCCTTCTACAACCGCACACTGCGAAATTCTAACGTAGCGGGAAAGTACTAAATTCGGAGAGATTATCGAGCTTGTGGTGAGCCGACTCGTACACTATTATCCCGTGTGAGTTTCTCAACGCCATTTTTTGAGATTCGGATGGAAGATGGTTTGTGGGGAGGGGGGGGGGGGCGGTTGCGGAACAGATCCATTGTCACCCAACGATCATGAGGGAAATAGAAGGTAAAGTAAAGAAAGTGCAATGGTAGGACCGCCGAACATACATATTGACAGACGTTGTTGAACTGCCCGTTTGTTTCACGAGTACAATTCTTATAGGGATTTATAAAGCTACGAGGCTTATGCTTTGTAATAACCTGCGGCATTGTAGTTAGACAAGAGGCAATTCAAGGCTAAGAAAGGTCAAACCAGAAAAGTGCCCGTCAAAACTGAATACACAAACTCACATACCGGACCAACAAACAGGTCAGTGCAACTGCATAACATTTCATTGCAGTAGACAGCTCACTACAACTCAAGTAACAGTTCAATGTTAGTGAGCAACAGTTCAGTGCGCAAATGACCAACAGTTCATCTTGACCGAGGCAGAGTTCAGTGTGACTGAGCAACAGTTCACTACATTTGATCAAGCAGCGCACAGCAATTGAAAAACAGCTCACTACAACTCAACAATAACCCACTGCACTTGAACAACAGTTCAGTGCGATTGACCAGGCGCTTACTGCAACTGACATACAGTTCACTGCAGCTGACC